ATAGACTTTTATTTTTTATTTTGAAAAATAAGGCATAACGAGAATAAATAAATGCGAGAGAGTCATGAATACAACTGATTTCAAATATAATACCGTACTGACGATAGAGTTACACAAGAGCTTAATGTTAAAAAGTAAACGCGATCAGATTCATGAGACTTAACAGCTAGTCTTAATTTTTTCATAGCTCTTTTTTATTTATTTTTATATGAAAATTGGAATATTATTAAAAAAATAGGATAAGATGATCTTCGAATTGATATTTGCAAGATAATATCCATCTAATATCTTCGAGTTAAATTTATAAAAGTAGAATGTTTTCCAGAAAAAGAACAGAAAACGATCTCTGTAAAGCTTTATTTTATTTATTATTCTAAATAAGATCATAAGTAGTGTTATAAAGTCATACTATAGAGAATAGAAATAAATAGTAGCGACCGTTGGCTAATGGACTAAAAATCATGTTCATCATACCTTTTTTTTGTCAAATATTGACTAATATTTTTGTAAATCAAGAGGTCGAAGTAGAACATATGATTTTGTATAACAATCATTGGCCAATGCCATATGAGAAACATCTAAATTTGAAAGAAGAGAGAGAGGCATAACGCTGATGAGATAGAAACTTAGAAATAGTTAAAATACCATCACGGCATAATACATCAGTTTTCAACAGCTTTGTGGATCAAACGATGTTCTATGATCTAAAACTGGCATTTATCAACAGAGAAACGGTCTTTACACTTAGTCTATTGAAGGACAGGTGAATGACCTTACCGATGAAAGTAATTAATCGGGCCAAATGATGATATTACTTTTATTACTTTCTAAATCCAGAATAGAAAAAAATTTCATAATACGATATTGTTTATTTTAATAACAGAACGTTGTACTTCTTGATCTTAAACGTTCATGTCTAGTTGTTGTTGTTTTTTTTACTCTTAAAATACAAGATAAATTATAATACATGCATTAAGAAAAATTTCATCTACATAAAAAATGTGATCGTGTTGGTATTACTGCCGAATTATTAACGAATTTTGAGACATGATCTGATGTATTACAGGCGGCATTGTCAGCATTGAGTGAAATATACACATCCGAAAAATTTGTTGACGTAATTAAAACAGTTTGAGCTAAATGAAATTGATACTATTGTTAGTCGCCATTAAATCTTGACTATTTTACGTGTTAAATCATGGCCAAATATTGAGACGTCTATAAAAAAATAGTAAGTGGTAATTCTCTAATTGAAAGGAAGTTATAAAAGTACGTGTATTAGTCTGCTTAACATTAAGTGTACTCACTGTTTAATTGTACATTGTACATTCATTTTATCTTTTAATTGAGTTGTGAGAACTGTATTAAAGAAAATAATAAAATAAAAATTTAAAAACTGTTATAATTTTACTCACATAGACTTGACTCTCTGCCTAAAGGTATATCAAAAGTCAATATTATTGGTAAATAAAACTAAAATGACTCAAGTATATTAGTTTCACAGATATTTAGTCATATTTATCTTACATCAAGTAATCGTCTAACTAAACAAATATTCGTCGAAGATTCTACAATAATGACTAATGTACGGCGGATGTGCGATGATGAATTGTTTATATTTTCTTGTATTTCTGTTCATGTATAAAGTTTGATGGACGATATAGAAAGATCTTTTGGTTGTTGACATATTGGTAAATAAACATGATTCTGTTCACTAATTTTTGTTTGACATGATGCGGTCACTAATGGCTAAAAATAGATTCATTATGTGTATCAGTGAAGAAACAGTGTAATATACTTACAGCTACACAGTCGTAAAATGATTGAATCAAATATTCGACACATTCGGCTAAGCCGGATTGTTTTATCCTAAAAGATATATGTGGGGATAAGGCTTCTAAAAGCTGTAAAATGAAAACTCCTAATTTAGATTCTAAACGACGAATATAGTAAACTTCGCCTGTTTTAGCATACGATCTTCCCATAACAACAATATTAAAATGTGCACGAACATTTTTAAATAAAGAATAATTGTCATTTACAATATTTAACAACTGATTTGGTAGTATCAAAACTTTTAATGAGACAGAATGAATTTTCTAAAATAAAAATACACTAGTTTATCTAGTAATAAAAAGTTATTTAATATAACTTACACATATTAGTTGTCTAGCCTGTTCGATAGTCATTATTGAATCAGATATTGATACCTGAAATTTATATATTTGTATTATATAAATCGTTATTCGTCATTAATGCACAATTATATCTTAACTGATTTGATTTGAGAACATTTGGACCGTAATTACCATCCGGAAAGTGGATATGTGTATCGGTTGAACTCATGATTGTCTAAATTTGATTTTCTTGTTATCCGATATAATGTGCATAGTCAGTAAATGATATGTTAATTTTTAATGTTATTTGGTCAAAATTTTTTATTATTAAATATTGTTGTACTGATATGACAGACCCCATCGCCAATAATAATGATGGTAATTGTGGTACATCGATCATTTACTTTAAGAAATGAGAAGTGAATGAAATATTTTTTGGAGCAATTACGTTAAATAATAGGATATTTTGAGTACAACTTTGACTTTTCACATTTTATGTCTAAAAAATTCTTCTGAAAATGGCAGATGCTGACAAAGATAAATCAGTTCAATATTAGTTCACTTGTCTATAAAATTTTCATTTTGATGCTTTTCGATTGAAACTCAGTCTATCATTACAGTGTTAAACTTCTGGCCATGATCACATTAAATAAAAACTACATCGTTATTGTTGTCTTAGATCCGATTAGATATAAAAAATGAGAAATTTTAAAGAAAAGAGACTAATAAACAAAATTTGAAATTTTTTCATGTATCATTAAATATAAAGGACATATTACATTTTTTTCAGTGATAGTGTATACTGTTTTCTTTTTTCTAACAATAGATAACTCGTTATATGTCGAAAAGTGTCTAATTTCTTTTTAGTGTTTTGTTAAAATTTTAATCCGAAATAATTGTCAATTTTTTCATTACCGAACTCGTCTGATGAAAATTATTTTTGGGATAATAATTTCATTCTTGTGTTCTCTTCGGATAACTGTTCAATATAAAACGTTTATATTGTAAAAATAAATAGGAGTGTACAAACTACCTGTCAATCTCTTTAAGAATTCTTATATTATTAAAGATATTAGCAATAAAAACGCCTTTCGAACTTGAGCCAGTTTATGTGAAAATTTTGATAAAATCAAGAATTGAACGATTATGGCTAGTTTAAGTGAGAATTTAGCCGTTAGCTATCCTTACTAAATTTGTTAAATGGTTAACATTCATTCTTGAAAACAACACTGCAAATTGAATTCATACACAGAATTTCTACAAATTGCAGAGATCTTCAACTTCTATAATTATCTTTTTCAAATATTGCGATTTAATCAACTGATGTGGTGTCCTAGCAGTGAAATACATCCAACATGATCGGTTTATTTTCGTTCATTATTCTCATTAAATTATTGAGTACATCTTTTTTATTTTCGAATAAAACAATCGAAAGAGAGAAATTTATCATTTTTATCTGGAAGGTAAACAGAATATGATATGTATATCTACCACCTATAAGCAAGATCATTGTCAATTATAGTAACAAGTTGAGCAAAATTATTTGTGCATCTACGTTTGACATAATTATTATTACATCTTTTTCTTTTTCTCTCTCTACTCTTAAACTATTTGTAAATGAAAGTATAAATCCAACTAAACATGAACGTAGCAGGTGAAAAAAAAATGATCAGTTAAATAATTTTGCTTTCATCAACTTCGCATGCTCTAGGTATCACTATCGAGGTATAATAGTCAATTATGATATCCGAAATGTAGTGCGTGTTTCTCGAACATTTGTTAGTAACACTTACATTCTCATTTGAGTATACTCGAATATGTTTTAACTGACTCATTTTTGAAGAAGTCCGAGCTTTTTTAACTCTTAAAACATTTTTGTTTGTATTTCTTTCTAAAATCCATCAATATTTAAAGGAAAAGAACATGTTCCGTTTTCGTTTTTTCTTACTTTTACTTATCGCAAAAGTTTGTACGTATATCTAATATTCATTCTACTTATGACAATCATTTTCCTGGACATAACATAGTAGGCATGGTTGCAGAATTTGTACGCTACGTTCCAATAAAAAAAGTAAGAAAACAAAACTAGACGAAAGAGCGGTCTGATAAACAAGACGTGATACAGTTCTATGATCAAAGAGATATGCAAATATTGCAGGTTGTGCGATTTGAAGGTTCTTTTAACTTATTTTACTACAGATATTATCTTTGGTATAAATTCATACAATAAAAGAATGAATTTAAACGTTTATATATTTTATTTTTATAAACGTACTGCTTATTCTGCAAATCCTTGATTTAGTATTTTATTTTATACAAATGAAAAAGAGTTAACTTGTCTTTATTCATACTATATTTACCAATTTTACTTTTTTTAACAGAAATTTCTTTTTATTTTTAATGTTAAATATCATCAATCACATGAACAACGTTCTCATTTTTGATGTGATCTATGCTGATGAAGTGAAATAATGTTAAAAACAAACGAAAAACAATATTTTTGATGTTGACATAAACAAAATGCCGTTATTCCATTTTTGTCTAAACAGTTGTTTGAACTGGAGGCTCATAACCATCTGTTCGTTCAATTCTTTTGCCTTTTTCATCTACAGTAGCACCACTATAACTTTCACCATGCATTTCCATTAATCGTGCCACTGAAAAAAGGAACAACATTCAACAAGTTTTTAAAAGCGACCAAATATTTTTATTTTATTAACATACTGTCGAATTTTGGTTTTTTCAATACTTTAACTTTTCGGATGTTAACATTTTGTAATGGATATATACTACGACATACTTTTTCAATTTCAGCACCGATACTGTTTGGTATTCTAAAAACGCAACAAAACCAAAATTTCTTTTAAAAAGTAATGAATTATTTTTATGATTTGTTGATTTATTTATGATTAATATTGTTATTTTTCAGTTGAGGAATCCTGTGCATTACTCTAAAGCAAAAAAACAAAATAGCTTACAATTTATTGACAACATCTTTCAATTCACTTCCAGCAATTTCACGTGTAATAATTTCAACCATTTTTTTTCGAATTTGTTTTATCTGTGAGAAAAGAAAAATATTAAAGTGACATTTTGTTTAAAATTAAATTAAAATATAACTGATCTTACTTGTGTATGTTGCGCATAACACGTCTTTTTAATTTGTTGACGCATTTTTGTTGTAAAACCGATACAAAACACTCGAAGTAAATAACCATCTGATGTTCGGACATCAGCTTGTGCTTCAATTAATGTCTATATTGATTGAAGACAAAATTATTATTAATGTTAATTCTTTTTTTCTACCTTTCAAAGTTAATACTTACTTGCCATTTTTTGACTAACATACGTAAACGATCAGTTGTTATATCCATGCCATGAAAATTTGTTAAACAATATCTTCCTTGTACTTCTTCACATATCAATTTAAATTTTCTATAACTATCTTCATCATCCAATTTGATTAAATCACCAAGCGATGCTTCATATACTCGACCTTTTAATGCATCCGATGCAATTTCTAACAAACAAATCGAAAACAATCCACGATTTATTTAGCTTTATTTAATTAAAAATCCACATACTTGTTCCCGTTGTTCGTGTGACAAGTGTTCGTCCTAATGTACGTTTATCAAAATTTGCTGGTGCTTTTACATCGTACCAATCTTTTTTTGAAAATGGATCAGCACTACATTATAAACATCTGATAAATTTGTTTCAAAATGACTAGCGAAAAAAAATCATCAAAAAACTTACACTTTCTTTTTGCCACCTTTTTTGCCTCCTTTTGTTAAACGTTTATTTTTTCCGATGGCCATGTTGCAGTGTGGAGTACGTTAAATGAGATATAATCTGAAATATTTTTTTGGATATGATGAACATAGCAAAAAAATACTGAGGTGAACATCTTACGAAAGGTTACTTCAAAAGCAAATACAAGAATTATCGAAATATTATTGAGTTAACGACGAAACAAAACTGGCTAATCATATTATCTATATTAAAAAGCAGTCTTCTGCTTAAATAATGAACTGTAAGGTAGAGTTAAACAAGTTTGCAGCTAACGCTAAAATCTTGTTGATGTTTTGTGTCGTTTCCACGTAGCAGCAGATTTTCAAGAAATGAAAGCAAAATGAGCTGAGGTCAAGATAAGTTAGACAAAAAGTTAATCGATAACCAACGTAAAAAAAGTACATTGACCAAAGAAGTTTGCTTTTAATTTTAGTAGGCAAGGTTCATCTCGACCACTGAGAGACACATGTGACCGTTGTTATTTCTTTTTAGTAGCTTCAATGAGAGACTATCTACGTCAAATCGCATTGCTCATGTCTTTTTGGAGTTACTATTTGAAATTAAAAGGAGACGTGTGAACGTGGCCCGTTACTCAAGTCGTTTTAAAAAAGCATCATCGTTGGCTGTTTTTTAAACCAATCGATACGAAGCATTAAAGACTTTCAGTAGACGCGATAATTGCGCTATACACTTCAAATTTTCATTATTTTATCGTACATCGGATCCTAGCTCGCTCTTCCTTTCGAAGAAATTTCTGAAATGTTTAATCAGCGAACATTATTTAAAATTCTGTAATTAGGATGAGCGAAACTATCTGCTGTAAAAGAGCGACAAAGAAGAATTATTTTGAATCAAATAAAATTTCTATTACCGATAGTGAAGGGTGATTGATACTGTCCCACAATTTACATGAAGGTTTGCCGCAAATATCGAGACATATTTCATTTGAAAGAGCATTTAATTCTGCGTAAGAATGTGTTGTTTAAAAAATTTAAAAACATCGGCATGGGGTTCTGAGGAGGTTCGATATTTGAGGATTTTATAGATTCCAAGACGCAATTCATACCTAATTATCTCAGACGTTTAAGTTAAAGAATGACTAAGTTGGAGTCAATACAGAATTGTTGTACAACAACATCAGTGAAATCACGCATCTTCTAGCCGTTAATGCGCTCTTTTCGAGTTTTTGATGCGATTTCATTCGGCTAAGCAATGTAAATGTAGGAAAAATCTCATTTAGTAGAGAAATGAACGTTCTGTTTAATGGTATGTTTGCAAGATTTTTTTGATGTACTTTGCAGTTGGTAAGTCTTCTGGAAAACCCGAAATTTCAAAGACCTGTATCTCAGAAACCGGAGATAAGGTATTGGGATCTCAGTTGATTCATATGTCAAAAATCAAATGAGTGCTGTAATGCTTGTGAAAGATGGCTCTCAGCAGACTTACAGGAGCGATGTGAACAAAAACTCCGTTCCTAGATAGAACTAACGACCAGGAATCTGGTACATATATTACTTTTGAGTTTAGAGTTTGATTTGATGGTACAAAAACGCATTTCAATACGACGAAAATTTTGGGTTTTCCAGAGGACTTACCAACTGCAAAGTACATCAAAAAATGTTGTACAACAATTCTGTATTGACTCCAACTTAAGTCATTCTTCAACTTAAAAACGTGGAAAATATCTCATTTTGTAGAGAAATGAACGTTCTGTGATTTGATGGTGAAAAATATATTTCAATACGGCGGATTTCATGATTTTCACCATCTTAGAACAAGTACGATAGAGCAATGAAGTATTTTGAAATGTTTCTAAATGAGCCGTTGTATTCCTTGTTGTCTCTAGTCTATGTCCTAAAGCGTTGAGGTTTGTCGCTTTTGTTACGTCTGAGATAATTAGGTATGAATTGCGTCTTGGAATCTATAAAATCCTCAAATATCGAACCTCCTCAGAACCCCATGCCGATGTTTTTAAATTTTTTAAACAACACATTCTTACGCAGAATTAAATGCTCTTTCAAATGAAATATGTCTCGATATTTGCGACAAACCTTCATGTAAACTGTGGGACAGTACCAACAGAATTAATCTGAAACAACAATGTTTATATAGGGATAAACATGCATATGCATTCGACATACATTGATGCAGGATGATGTATTCAACTAAGGTTGTTTGAGATAGTCTGTCGCTACTTAACCGATAGGAATCTTAAAACAAAACAGTCAAAAAATAGGTATATCTGTCTAATACATCGGATTTATTTTTGTTCATGCATATAAATACTATTTAAAAAAGGAGCACATAATATAAGTGAATAAAATCAAAAAAACAATACTGCATTGCAATAAACGCATGTCAAAATATAAAATGTATATGTAATGTATAGCCAAGGAACGAGTATTTTAAAAAATAAATACGCTAAAATTTTTTTCGACAAATTGAGTAAGTAGCAGAAAAAAACAGTTGAAAAGAGGTGTGACTATTTTTATAACAAATTCTCATCTAATTGAACAATATTTGATGAAAGTTCATCGTCTGTCGATGGAGCAAGAAGATTGTCTTGATGAATTGGATCATCGTCATTATTATTATTTTGATTTTTATCCATATTTCTAACTATTGATCGGGGTAAAACTGGAGTTTTATAATATTGAGAATTATAGTGAATCAGTTGAACTATATCATCAAGTGAAACATTTTTAAGTGATACCATGGTATTATCGGAATTATCACGGTTGTAAATTATAATAGAAACACAAATCACTTCGGGCAGTTGAATAGGGATAGAGAAATGACACGATACAGAAGTATAATCAACTGGTGTGTATTTGTCATTATGATAAAGATATTTTGGTCCACAATTGAAAAATCTATACAGAAGACCATGATGTCTAGCTTTTCTCGTGTAGCTAAAAAATAAAGAAAAGAACGAATAGTGGAGTGTAAAATACGCAATTCACATATAGAAAGCTTTATCCTAGTGTGCTAATGGGAAAAAACTGTTTGAGAAAGGTTACTGATATCTTATAAGCTTTGTTTCAGTATGTCAATGTTCGAATGTTTAAAAAATTCACGTGACTGACTCGAATGGTGTGTTCGGTATAGTGTAGTAAGTGTTCGGATCGATTGTGCCTATGTTAAAGGTTGGCATCGTAATGGAATACTGAGCTAAAATGAAGAACGAAAAATATTATTAAATCTTTGATTACACATTTTTATCCTTACATTGTGGTAAATAAACACTTGTTACGGCGTCGAGATCATCACGTACTTTAGCCTCGATTATCATATCGACGTATTTCTTTAAACTAAGATGATCAATCTAGAAGAAAGTTCAGAATTTTAAATTGAAAGATATTGTAAACGTTTTTTTTGTAAAGCAAACCTGTAAGCTATAGTGGGCGTCAGTATGCTCTAGTGGTACCAAAATATGATCAAAAAATAACTCCTTCAACAATTTACTTGCAAGACCTATTAGAAAATGGAACAAATAATACTGATAATACTACAAACAATTAAATTGTTTATTTAAATTTACCGATCCAGTCGTCCTGTTCTAAATCATACGAATTCCAGAACAATTCTATATCCTTTTGTAGATAGGGTAAAATACGTTGAGGATACCACTTTTTAACAAGTTGTCCTGCTTCGATCAATACAAGCTAAAATCAAAATAAGACTCATAATTCAACGAAAAATAAGACATATAAATCTAAAAAACCTACAGATAAATTAGTTTCAGTTAGTCGAATACGTCTATAATCATCATCTTTTTTCAAAGATAATATTTTCATTCGTCTACAAGAAAAAGCAGATAATTTAATCAATTTTATTTTAAAGTTACGATGTTAAATGACAGGGATGACAAAAATGCTCTAAAGAGCTTTGACTAAGTCACACACAAGTTTTTTTAAATTACTCTTAACTCACTTTTGAACAGCATCATTTAATTCATCAATATATTTTGCTTTGTTTTTCATCATACGGGAATAAACATTCTCATTGTCCGCCGATGGATGTGTGACAGTTGCAGAAAATGGATGAAACGCTTCATTGAAAAATTCTCTAGAAAAACATTCTAAATGCATGTATTCAATGTTTCTTTTTAAAGTAGAACCTGCTATACTTACTCATATTCTTGAATGGGTTTTGTCAACATTTTTTCGATATATGAACGATAAGTTTTCAATTCTTCTTGCTCGATGAAGGCTTCAAATACAGCTAAAACTTCTGGAGGTGCCACCTATAAAAACATCATTTACATAATGATCTATATGGCAAAATAGTTTTTCCTTACCTGATAGAAATACTGAGATGCAAGACCAGGACCAGCAACACGCATAGCAAGAAAAGTATCCTGAACGGGTATACGTGCAAAACGCTTGATTACAGTGTGAAACATAATCTTATCATATAATCCTCGTGTACAGCGATGTAACACACTATCTATAAGATAATATGATCATATATTTTCGTACAAAAAATCATTTCTGCTGTGTCAGAAACTTACAGATCAATACAAGAAAACTAATTACTGGACTGGCAAGAACAGCGAGAACAGCTAATACTGGTTGACATATTCCACAAAGTATAAAATTGTTAACAATTACATTAATTAAACAAAATAATCTTCGACCATATTCTCCTAAAAAGTTATAAGATGAATTACGTAGTAAATTTCTCAATTTTACTTACCTGCTGAGTCAGCATCATAAATAAAAATCATTAAAATATGTATGAGAAAAGATATAATAGGCATCCTTCGAAAACATAAATAAACGATATAAAGATGAGAAAATTTAGTTTTCTAGATGTGTCTATACCATATTGGTGATAATAAACCAAGAATAAACGAAGCAGTCGAAATAAATAAACATGTTGCAGGATAGAAAAGACACAGACCCACTGTACCAAATGTGCCTTTAATCAAATAATTCCATATTCGATTAAACATGCGTTGTACGTTTTTTCCCAGAAAACCTAAACAAATATTTTCAAATGAAGATTCAAAAATTGCAACTAAAAATATTTGAACATAAACTACTTTGAACTACTCATTTCAAATTTTAGCACAGGTAAAAATAAGGATTAAAATGAAATTACCTCTGTCTGGCAGAGCTTCAAATTTCGTACGTGACTGTCGAACATTCGTCCATATTGCCATTAGCCGAGATAAAAATGTTTGATATTTTCGATTTCGATTTGGATGCAGTTTTAACTATAAAAAATCCAGAAACGCTATATATTTAGCTTTCACATCCGACTTCTTTTGAACTCACATCTTTCTGTTCCAGTACATAATCAGGTGTGAACGGTTTTGGAGAAAACAGAGCAGTAAAACTAAAAAAGCAAAGCAAAGAATAAAAACAATAAAAACAGTTTGTCTCTATTTACCTAACTGGACTTACAAATGGTATTAACATCTGAAATGATAAAAATGTTTTTAGAAGCAATAAAAAAGAATGTTAAACTTACACAAAGAGCGTAAATAGTATTGGATGTCCAACAAAACGTCCTCAAACCAAAATTTTTCCATCTCCAAAATGGAAATCTCGTTGTTGTCTCTAAAATTAACGGGAAAAATGAATATATTATAAGATGAATGTTGAAGAACTTACCATAGACAACTTTCTTTCGTAATTGATACATCGCATCTGGCTACAGGTAAAGAAGATGAGGAATCAGATGAAACCATACAGTTGTGTTAGATTAATATAATTATAACTTACATCTGCATCAGTCAGAAGTCTTCCTTGATTATCATTTACAGTTTCACCCGTTTTAGATGCAAACGTTGTTGGAATTTGCTGAACAGGTAGTGGATATGTTCTTTCAACAATCCAATTCACAGGAAACCAAATATTTCTTCTTTGGTATATGGTTCGTACGGGTTCACTAATAGCTTTCAAATTCATACGTAGCACACGTTCATTCTACATAGAAGAGAAACAAATTTTTGTTTACAATATCTTTGATAAATGACTATACTACTTACATCTTTACGAAATATCAAATCACGTTGAATAAAGTAAGCAGCTTGCAGATTACCCAGAGTTTTACATCGTTCAATTGCTTGTAAATGAGCATCCCATTCATGTCTTTTAACAAATAGTATCTGACAAAAAAAACAACAAAAAAAACAGTATTTATTTCATTATTCTTAAAATACAAAATTATAAATACGCGTAGCCAGATCTATGGCCGTGAATTTAAGAAAAATCTTCGTTAAAACAAGTTCAACTTACTTGTGCTTCAACTAGTTTAGCTTCTAGCCAACGTCGTATTTTTGATTTAATAGGATGTTGTTTAATCAACGTTTGTTTTGTCTAAAAGAAGATAAAATAGATTTTCATAAACATTTATATATTTATAAAATTTAACTGACATTCTCCAAATGTTCTTCCAATTGCTTATTGAGACATTTCACAACATCTTGCATTACTAATACTGAACGTGAATGAGCAACAATCAAATCGCCCAAACCGGATGAACATTTTTCAATTTCTTTGGAATTTTGTATTATATCAAATACTTTTTCCAAGTATAGTTGTAATATACGTTCATTAATCTTATTCGCCAAATTCTCTTTCGAAAGCATAGAATTTTCAGGTTGATCTAAAGAAAAAATATTTAATCAATTATCTATTAATATCCCTATCAAACTATGAATTTCAAAACAAATGTGTCCTACGTTTGTATTCATCTAATAATTGCCGTTTTGTTGTATTAAACCATGTTTTTGGTATATTATTATCAAGCAATCGAAGAATAATTGATTGAATTTTTTGTTGGAGATCTATTAAGAAAATAAAATTAAATCACAAAATTGATTGGATAATCATTTCTCTATATTACCTCGATTGTGTAGACGAAAATCAATGTGAATATTTGATGGTGTTAAAAAATGATGTGGATATGGAAGCATCTTTGGTGGTTTTACCTAGATGAACAATCAAAAGTAATAAACAATGAAAAAAAATCTCTTCATACCTGCTCTTTTCTCAATGTATAACGTTTTTCTTCGTCCATAAACTGTAACAATATAGGAACTTGTGCGCAAAATGCAAGATGAATATCACGTTCATCATTCTACAATAACATAGATAAACATTAAATTTAACATAAAAATATTTATTTTAAATCGACAAAACAGATCAAATTATTTGCATTTCTTCTTACATGCGGTAAGAGTTCTATAACAAGAAATTTTTTCCGTTCATTGTTAATTTGTTCATTTAACCCATCAGACTTATTAGCGGGTAGTCCAATCAACGTATCTAAACAAAATAAAGACTGCTGCTTATTCAAAATTCACTAAAAGGTTTAACCAAAACAAAAAAAACTTTGAGCTTCATAATATCTACCAAGTAAAGTAAGAAGTCCATGTTTCCATGAACGAAGAGCCGCTTTTAAACTAAAGCAATTTGAAAGAATTCGATCGCGTGCAAATATAATTAGTAAATACAAGGACCATGATAATTCCTAGAAGAAAAAATGTTTGACGACTTGACGACTTGAAAAATGACGACTTGATATAACTTACTTTATAGAATATTGCATGCGCCTTTTCTGTTCCTGTTTGTAACAAAGCACTTAATGCCCAACGATGTTTTTGACCGGGAAAATAGTTACTATCCACTTCAAACTCTCTAATAAAAGCACAAATAAAACATTTTTAATTAAAATATATTAGATAAAACAACAAAAAAATAACATTTACCCTGATTTTTTAACACTTTCTAATTGATCAACAGTCAGTTTTTTTAATGAACTATTTTCGTTTGTAGCCACTTGCTCTAATTCATTAAGAGTCGGCAGTTGAAACAATGAACTAAATTTGACCTGAAAAAACATGGTAAATTATTTTATAAAATGAATAATCAACTGTAAATCTTACTCCATCAGTCTCTTGTATGCCTGTAATGGATGGTGGCAATGAAATTTTAAAATTTTTGTATTCTTTCAATGTTTGTTTAGCTTTCTATAATGTAATAAAGTGAATTATTTTAATATACTATTATAATTCTAAATGATTACATCTCGAACATAATTTTGAATATCTTCTATGTTAATTGATGAATGTTGGATTGGAATATTGATCTGCACTGGTGTCGACTAAAATAGGCAAGATTGTCAATTATATTTTAGTTAATTTTTCTTTTTATTATCATTACTTCATATTCAGGTAAGTAAATTGAAAATGGTTCATGACCTGTTAGATTTTGATTAGTTGTAGTAGCTGCATCATTTTCTGATTCCATTTTGCATCACAAATATTTTCGAAGGACAAAAATATATCGATGAGCTTCTTCTTTGGTGTGATATAAATGATGTAAAATTAAATATAAACAAATCTCAATGGATTTTATTTTCTAACTCTACAAAAACACTTCCATCGCTCACTCTTTCAATAAAAAACATTATTATTAAGCGTGTTTCATCTCTCAAACTACTTGGTGTTATTATCTCAAATAATTTAACGTGGAAATCTCATATTGAGTGTGTTTCAACTAAATCTCGGCAAATGTTAGGCTCTATTTCCAGAATTTTTCGAGACTCGCCCTCCTTTTTACGTTGCCATCTGTATAAAACTTGTGTACGAATACACTCGAATATGCTTGTGTTGTCTATGATTCAACGTTTACCGCTCACCTTAATATTCTGAACAAAATTCAACGTCTTGCTAGTAGAATTATCTCACAAGACTTTAATAGTTTCTCTTCTTATTTGCTCAAAACATTTAAAATTCAACCACTTTCTAATAGACGTCTTTACTATCGTCTTCTATATTTTCATAAAATGTTCTATAATAAAAGTCCTCTCTCATCTTTTGATTTGATCTCACCAATATCTCTACAGGGTGATCCAAAAAAAACTTACCCCCTGTGTATTTATTGACTTTCTTGTGTACAAATATAATTGAACTTTTTACCATTAGTTTATTCAAATAGAGCAAAGATTTCTGAACAAAATGCGACGTCTCCGAGCTCTCTAAGAACTTTTTTCATGAAACAGCATTGAATTTACGGAAGGTCCCAAGAGCATATTTTTCTTGTTTGCCCATTAGTTGTCCCGATTTTGGTGGTATGGGACCTTCCGTAAATTGAATGCTGTTTCATGAGAAAAGACCTTAGAGAGCTCGAAGACGTCTCATTTCGTCCAGAAATCTTTGCTCTATTCGAATAAACTAATGGTAAAAAGTTCAATTATATTTGTACACAAGAAAGTCAATAAATACACAGGGGGTAAGTTTTTTTTGGATCACCCTGT